GTGCAAGGTAATTGAAAATTTTTCCAAAACAAAAATTGTAATTATAACACCTGATCTATTATTTCGGCATTTTAGTGTTATTACTCTTTAAACAATGATTTGCCGAAAAAAACTCATATTTAATAAGAATTTACCTATTCGTGTTGGATGAACAAAGACATTAGCTAACAATCAACATGTTGACTCGCGTAAGAAATTTTTTAATTTGACCAATATAAAGTAATGGTTGTGGATGTTTGCGGAGAAATTGAACATTTTTTCCATCCTTCTAATAATGCTAATAGACAACCAATTTTTTTTAATTTCTTGAGTTGTATTGATGATATTTATAGATACGTACGCGCGCACACAGATGTGCGTTTATTGTGTGTTTGCGTATTTGTTATTTACGTGTGTATACATCCATAGGTATATATTATTATATATTATTATATTTCAGACAGAACGACGATGATGTAATACCAACGTAAGACTTTGAAACACCGAAACATCGAGTTGTTTTTTTATGCGTGTTCAATCCCTGCAGTCAGTCTGAATCTAATTGACAATGTACGAGAGGTCCTCTTCGCTGTGATTAACAATGCGGGCTCGAACTACTCTGTCGTGAATTGTTTTTTGTTTTTTTCTTCATATTTCGGCTAAAGACAATTCTCATTATTTAAAAAAAAAAAAAAAAAAAAAAAAAAAAAAAAAAAAAAAAAGGAAATAAGGTTTCTTATTAATTTTTTCGAAAAATATAAATTATCAAATAAATTCTTAAGTGCTTAAATTAAATTCAGTTTCAAAATGCATAAATAAAATGATCGTTACAAATGCAGCCATCGACCATATAAATGAATATCCAATTAATAAAGTAATTCCAAGTAGATCGAAAATTATATCGACGACATAACGAATGAATGTAAACTCCGTTCTTTGTTACTTTTCTTAAATCCGTTGCTTCTCATCAAGGATCTACAATAAGAAACTGTAAATCGAGTTTCGACGGTGTTTCTTTTAGATACCAATTACGGTAAATTATTCTATAAAATTTTTGCTACCACTATGCATCCTTTCTGTTTGTAGCACCTCGGTAACATCGAACATTAACTTCACATTAAACTTTTGATTAAACATTAATCGTTGTCCATTAATCCAATAAATTGATTATAGGATCCTTAGCAGATATGCACTTCATTCAGTTTATACGTTTTATTTAGCTTCTGTAATGATATTTATTTATACTCTGCATAAGAAAGTAAATCTCTAAAAGTTAATGGAATCACTCATGAATTTTGAACTTTATCGAAAATACGACATTAGAATATATATATATATATATATATATATATATATATATTTTTTCTTTTATTTAAAATCAATTAAAGCTCGTATATTATTTTATAGAAAACGTAAGAATAAGATCGTAAAATATTATTATTTTTTTTTTCCGAGTCTTTACTTAGGTATTTAGATGTATTCAGGTGCATTCAGATGTTTGAATATAATGAGTTACGCTTTTACTTGATAAAAAAAAAAAAAAAAAAAAAATTATTGTACCATCTATAAAATCAATACACAATCTAAATTTTATTTTTGGTAGTATTACATTAGCATAATTTATCTGATTCATCAGTTTGATATTCAATTACCCTATCTTTTATAAAACTTCATTTGAACAAATGTAAAATAGCTGAAAGTAGTAAATTAATGAAGTAACGTTACATTTGCATATTTTAAATAACATTAATTGATTTATTCTCAGTAGAAATATAATTTTATTGAATTAAAATGATATCTTATCGTGAGATTTTGTATCGATTTTTTATTGTGAAAATTTTTCGACATAACTTGAACACAATTCATTTAAATACTCGAGCTTTAAGTACCAATGAATATTTTCTGTAATTTTGGTAGATTCACAGTTTAAGATGTGCTTTATAGTCGATTCACATTACTTGAGTTACATTTTTAAAGTTTTTAGAGGCAGTAACACGATATATACATATATATATATATATATATATATATATATATATATATATATACACACATATATATATACATATACATATATATATATATATTTTTTTTTATATAACTTTTTATTATTATTTTCATTTTGTAATTTCTTATGATGCAGATATATGCGTGATTCCAGGTTATTATAGAAACTCTTTATTATACTCCAATTTTCTAAAACCTTTCTAAAGATTTTTTCTAAAAAGATGTTCTTTGCTCTGGAAAATATGAAATAATTATTTACGCGGTCTAATTATGCAATATACCTACTACCTAAACTCACAAATACACGCTGTTTTAATGTGCTTTCGGCCTTCTGATTTTCAAAAGATTAAAAAGCAGCTCAATAAAGCATCGGGGGAGCAGCTTAGTATCACAAGAGCATGTCTAGATCACCTAAGCATATGCTTCTAGACAAAACTAATCGTATCAACTTTTATTTATGTGCTATGGCGCATTGTTCGTCCATATTTATGACTAGCAAGCAGCCGAATTCTCTATTACAAAAAACGGTCTAGTTTATATTTATAATTCGACAAAACGTCGCTGTTAAAATCTTGACGACAATTCTGTAACGACACATATTGAAAAAGTTTTCAATTTTTCTTTAATCTTTCTTTTCTTTTTCAAATGGAATATATTTGTTTAACTTATCAAATCATCATCTATAATCCGCTGTCTCATGATAAAACGAAATCTGTCATTAATAATTATTACAACATGATTTTTTGGTGTTCGTACTATACCGACTATAATAGTTATCATAAGCTTACACGTGATTCATCGTCGTGTGCGTATGTTAATCAAGAATTTTTAATAATTTTTTTTTTTTTTTCTTTTTTATTTTTTTTTTTTTTTTTTTTTTTTTTTTTTTTTTTTTTTTTTTTTTTACTTAAAACACCTTTAACGCGTATTTAGAAAAATTGCTCCGAAGAATCTAGGAATCGTTTAACTTTCCCAAGGAATCCCAAGATCAACGGCTCTTTGTTCCAAAAAGCTATTTTCGCAGTGCAATTATAAATTTAGCGAGGATATGTTCTTACTGGGCCAATCGGAATTAGCACAACGATCCATCTACTTGAAAACTAATATACAGCCGTACGTAGAATAAGAATCTCTACGTGCATGTAAAACGTTTCGGTTAAGTAAAGAATGTCAAGATCATATAATCATCATTTTCTCGAACATAATTGTATTTTTTTTTTTTTAAATACACGTTTCATCATTTATAATTTTTTTCTTTTACAGTTGTATGATTCTATGTAAGATCGATTTTTTTTTCTTTTTTTATCATATTTTATTATTTTTATTATTTAGAAAAAGAACTTGTATATATGACAGCACAGCTTTTAGAATTTGTCTACAGGCTCTTTTATATTTCAATCCCCCCCCCTCCCAAACAAATGACACACTTTAACTGATATTCCATTTGCTTGATTGTTAAAGTAATTTATTAACAATAAACTCAATCCCTTGTGTTAGGGCAAAAGTTGTCTTCGAAAGTCTGCGTAACGGCGGTGTATAATTACTTCGCATGTGACGAAACGTAATAATAACATTAAGATTCGAGAAGCAGTCAAATGTCTCGAGTTCAAACGAACTGATAATTTAAAAATAATAAAATGGCAAGAGCTTCATCTGCATTACCATTTTTATAACTCCATGAAATACTTCTTACTTTTTTTTATTAATGAATGTCTCAAATTGATTATAAGATAACTTCATTTTCATTTCAGATCCTAAACACTGGTCAAATGCGCGAACATTGGCGCTTTGAACGCGTAAATACAATTATGCGTTTGCACGTGTGTGATCGTGTTTCGTGTATGTTTATTTGTTGCTGCTTTTGTAGATGTAAATAATATTTTACTTCGTATGCATAGCCTTCAAAAGTAATCACCGTAACATAGTTGTAATTATCATATATGTATATATTTACATTTACTATCTACATATCTACACATTAACAAACGGTTAGTTTTGCGTTTTTTCTGCATTTCTTAATAGCGTGTCGTGCGTACTTATCAGACAAATTTCTTTTCATAACTCATAATTGCCCCATGATAGTCGAACAACTCCATATATCGGTACGATGTTCATACTCGAGGTCCTATATTTTTGATATTCAACTTATTAAATTCTTTTTTAACTTTGAATTTACATTAATTTATTTGTTACGTTAATCGCAATTCAAATTAACAATCGTATTTGAGTACAAAACAATCGATGCAACAAGCCTCCTCTCCACCTGGATAGTCGGTCTCATCATAACCACCACCACCATCATCATCATCATCATCATCATCATCATCATCATCATCATAATCATAATCATCAACATCATAATCACAATCATCATCATCATCATCATCATCATCATAATCATCATCATCAACAACAACAACACCATCAACATCATTCTTAGCGACAATATCATTGTAATGAAACAACGCTACCCCAGGCCGGGCCAAAGCATATTTTCACAGTAACGCAATACACGTATATAAAATAATATAATAAAATAAATATCCTAAATTTATAAAAGTTTGGAAAATTAACGATTAACCGATAATCCAAAGAAATGAAGTCTATGAGTCGAGGCATCACTCCGCGAGGCGATTATAGAGTATCATTAGCATCATCATTATCGTCGTTATCCTTATCGTGGTTATTTGCGTTTAACGAGCGCGCCTTTCTCACAAACAAACTCCGGTGCCGCACACTCCTGCCGCCAAGGACGACAGGGGAAAAAGAAACCACGTGTAGCGCAACGCCCTCGCGTCAAACTCTTCTGGACTCGTAAGAACGCGTTGCCGAGCCTCTGGGCGCAAGCTCTCGATTATTTCAGTTCTCGGATTAAAATTCACTCGCCGAGCGCCTCGGTGGCCGCTTGCCACGCCCACGGGACGCCACGACGACGATTTTAGTCTTCCTCCGTTTTCTCTCCTGGTTATGATCGGTGACAAACAACGGCAGCTC